GGTTATTAGAGTGCATGCACATAAACCTATCTAGTTCTTTTTAGCTGAATGTAATCATGGAATCATCTTTAATGCTGATAGCAGAATTTGGAAATGCTCCTAGATTTTAAGTGGGGGAAGATTCTGTCAAGGAAAATTTGTCTAAAGAAACAGGTGATATTAGACAATCTAGATAGTTTCAGTCTATTTTTATTTTTATCTTCTCTGCACAGTAACACAAGAGAACTGGTCCTCAGGGTTTGAGGGAAGATTTATGTTTTGGTCTCAGAGATTTATGTTTTGTAAAAACCTGCACTGTGCTCAGTTGACATGGAAATGATTAATGTGTCTTTCATCAGAAGAATGATGTGAGAATAGTTTCCTGTTCCTTTCTATTACTAATGCACTTCAGTGTAAAGAGGCATTGCAAGTGACTCTCTTTCAGGAGTCTAAATTATGCATTTTTTTCATTTAGAAAATAAACTCTTGTCTAGTAAAAATGTTAGGTTCATAAACTATGAACATTTATGAAAGACTACTCTATATTTCTTACTGAAATGGCTGTCTCTATTGAAAAGAAATTAAAATAAAATAGATTTGAAGCTCTACTTTCTGAAAAAGGTGTACCACACCTATAAGAAAATGAGATTATATTTTTATTTGCTTCAGTAAAATATTATTTAAAAATAAAATTAAAGATACACTGTATACATTTGTTATCATTTGTAATATACAATTGAACATATAATTGAATGATTAATAAATTAATGTACATGCTATACCTTCTGTAATGTTGAACTGTTCAACTTTCTTAGCATTTTAATTCTTGCTCAGTCACCAATTAGTTCATAAAATAGAGGTTCTACTCTAAAGAATATATTGCTTGCTCTGGGCCATTAATGGCATTTCGCCACAGCCATACATTAGAGGCAAAACAGAGCAGCAGGACCCTGGCTCTGAGATGGCATGCATGTTGAGGGCTTTCAGGTTGTTCTACACACCTTTTATAGGAGGAGTATAGAAAGCTTCATATATGGCCAGGATGGGCAAATTTTTTAGCCCAAGGGCCACATCAGGATGTGGAAATTGTATGAAGGGCTGTGAATGCTCACAAAATTAGCATCGAGGTGCAGGAGTGGGAGAGAGCTCCAGCTGGAGGTACAGGCTCTGGGGTAGAGCCAGAAATTAGGAGTCAGGATGCAGGAAGAAGCTCCAGGCTAGGCCAGCAGATTGAAGTGTAGGTGTGAGGGATCTGTCTGGGTTCTTATGCAGATGAGGGCTTTCAGCCAGCTCCTATGTGGCAGCACAGCCAGAGGGCTCTGTCCTCCCTTCTCTGACCCTCTCCCCATACTCCATCTGCAGTCACCACCCCAGCAGCTCCCACTGGCAGTGGTTCCCAGCCAATGGGAGCTGTACAAGCTGTGCACAGATCCCTCTGGCTGCCCCTGCACATAGGAGCCAAAGTGGGGGACATGCAGTTGCTTTGGGAGTGGCATGAAGTCACAGCATGCCAGGAGCAGGACACACAGGAGTTCAAGGACTAGATTAAAATGACTGATAATCCAGATGAGGCCTGTAGGTTGTAGTTTAGTAGTAAAATCAAACCAAGATTCTGCTTATCTTCTATCCCTTCTTTTCCCTTCTCAGCCAAATTGTACTGTGCGGTGGCTATGATTTGAGTGCGGTGGCTATGATTCTTAGTGTGTCATGTAAGTGTCTTTGCTCCCTCCAGCATGCAGTAGCTTTTTCTCACTTCAAAATTGCCATTGAAGTTAATTGTTACTTTTTAATCATGATACAAAATTACTGGTACTACTTGACTTCATTAATGCCATTCTACCATTTATTTAATCTTTGCAAGAGGCATGGCCATATATTGCCTTTTATCCAAGTCAGGACTTCCATTAATATAAATGAGACTTGTGCATGCAGATCAACATCAGCACATGGCAGTAGACATAAAATAAAAACATAAAGAGAGGGCCAAATTCTGCTTTCTTATTCCCCATCATATAAATGAGAGCAGATCTGGTTCTATGGTATTTGAATAATTCTATTTAAAGAGGCAACGTACATTATATTTTAGAAATGTATTATTGTACATTATTTAGACAACTAAGTAATGCCCATGACACTTGAGTCTTAGAAAGATTTATTATAATGTGGTTACATATTATAAAAGCTCACACGTTCCAAACCTGGGGAAGTGATCTATTTAAACATCTCTATGAGTGATGGTTCCACATGTCCGATTTGGATATTTGTGTACTTTTGTTTAACTTGTCTCCTTAATCTCCACATACAGTTTACCTCCTGTTTGCAGCATTTATAGCTTGTGAGAATTGGGTACACCTAAGACTCTGACAGCTTCATAATGGGGCGGGGGAGAGGGGAGAAGGAAATCTGAGTTTTGTGCATATATTTTTAAAATGAATTAATCTGTGAAATTCTCATGAAGAAACAATTCCATACTTCAGTTAGGCTAATGTATTTATTAATTGTGCTAATGTAAGTTGTTGTGCATGGAATTCATTTCAGCAGCACTAAGTGTTTATGGATATCCTATCCAGTCTCACATTTCAAAAACCATCAGACACATTGCAGTAACTTTTATATATTTACAGTACACTTGTATAATATTTTTGTAGTACTTTGTTTTTGGAGTGGACTGAGGAAGTAAGTAATATAAATAATGTCTTTAAGAAACTTCACTTGTCCACTTCAGCTGCTTTTCATAATTAACTGACAGGTTTTGATTTGTGCTTTGATTTTGTTCAAAGCATGTTCTAATGTAATTTGTTTGAACCATTAAATCTAGTAGGCAGACATCTGCTGTGCTTTTTAACCATTTTTAAATATATGTTGAATCAGTACAAATGTTGTTTGTATCTTTATGGTCACATGAGATTTTACTCTATGGCCTGTAGTCAGCAGCTTATAATGAGGGAGTTGTATGAAATCTAACACAGTTCAGGATACCTTCTGAAACTAAAAACAGTTTAACTGAAATGCATGGTTAGTCACTTACTTCCATCTTTGCCAAACACATACCTTTTCTCTCATATAAGTTTTAATAACACTTATATCCAGTTGATTGTCAAAAATATTGATTTAGGGGTATGATCAACTTAAAATATTAGCAATTACTATGTGTCATCACAAAAGGAAAAACTATGTAGTACTTTAAAGACTAACAAGATGGTTTAATAGGTGATGAGCTTTCGTGGGCCAAACCCACTTCCTCAGTTCATATTCTGGAAGAGAATTGGCATGACCATATATACCAATTCTTGTTAGTACATATTAAACCATCTTGTTAGTCTTTAAAGTGCTACATAGTTTTTCCTTGTTTTAGCGAGATCAGACTAACACGGCTACCTCTCTATTACTATGTGTCACCAGTAACTGTAGTGCAAGAAATTATACATATTTTAATGATTCATTCAAGACATTTATCATTCACACAATTTCTTCAATGTTAGCCCATAAAACTTATGTATAGGACTTGTACTGCTATAATAACCACCTAGTTAAAAATATCAAAAGTATAGATTCTCTGTGCTGTGTGAGATTTATAGTATGTGACTTAGAAAAACAAGGAGAATTGGGCAATATATTTTATCCTGCTGTAGGTGAGTGAGACAAGCTTTCAGGCTCACAGAGAGCTCTTCCTCAGGGTCAAATATTATCTAGATTATTCCTGACATTGGAGATTTTTAAGAGCAGCTTTAATGAACGCCTCAAAGGTAATTTATTCCCATGTATTACTACCCTAACAGTTAGAAAGTTTTTCTTAATGTCCAACCTAAGCATTCCTTGCTGCAATTTAAGGCCACTATTTTGTGTCCCATCCTCAGAGGCCATTATGACAATTTTTTCCTTTAAGATTTTTTTATACAGATACATAACACAGAGTGGTTCCTTTTATATAAAGCATAAGTTTCTGAAGTTCATACTCTGTCATATTTGTTATGGCTCTCTATTATTTTTAAAGAAATGTATCTTCTTACTGATCAAGATACAATGGATAGTTAGGTGCACAGACAAAAAATGGCTACGGTCTAGGAAGACCAAACACTATCTGTAAGGCTAAGGTCAGTGTCTTCAGTAAATTCCTTCATAAAGTTATTTGTTTTACTTTACAAATAAACTTTCTGACATGTTCTCATTTTACCTAATTGCTTCTGCCAATGAATAGTTTTAGGAATCTTTCCACTCCCGGAATTTCCAACAAACTATATTATCAAAAAGTTGATCGATTCTCTGTACAAGTTAACAGTACTCAGCAAATTTCTAAACCAATCTGGTGCTGTGTATTCTCAAGTAAAGGGGAAGTCATGGAGAATGCATGTGTGTGCGCCTGTGTGTGTCTGTTTAAATTAGATACCTATATTACAATTAGTTCTGTATGATTTCAGGTTGACATCCGAAATTTTTCATTTTCACATACACAAATATACTCTAGCAATTCTGTTATATTAGTTACCTTGTGAAAAACTATGCATCATTAGCCATTAATAATAGAAAATTTAGAAATTGTTTGCAGCATGAATGTAGTTTGCCGCAGTTTGAAGTATCTGAAACCATAACTTGTTAACATTAAATTCAAAAGGCAGAAAATTTGTAGTGAATTAATAAAGTCTGAGGAGTTCTTCCCAGCTGTTGTGATTCAACAGGGGAATTTATATAAGTGGAAAAGTTCTAGAACAGATTAATTTTTATTTAAAATTGAATTCAGACAATTCATTTTAATAAAGTGATATCAGCTTTTGAAAGATTGGGAGGTAGCAATTTAAACCTCATTACTTTTCTCAGACTACATGGAATGCCTTATAGGAGCTCAGAGACCGAGGTACACCAAATGTTATCCTGCAAGGCAAAGTAAAGGTTGGCTCATGAATATAATATAGTCCTTTACTATTTTACATTTCTTTTGGATATAAATGTGGTTTGTTACAGGCTGAGACAAAGTAAGCCAATATCATTTTTAATGTTACATTTGCAAATGTTTGTATTTTCAGGGTTTGCCAGGGCTAGATGGTCCTCCAGGTCCACCGGGAAAAGAAGGTCAGAGGGTGAGTAAACTTTGTGAACAACTGGCAAGTGTGTGAACTGACTTTAATGAGTTACTTCTTTCCAAGCACCAATAAAAACAAGACTCAAAGATAGCAGCTGAGTAGAAAACAGTCACCTTAAACCAAGCTTTGAAATTTAAGTTTTGTCTTTGTTTGAACGAGGTTTATAATCTTAATTGTTTCAATGACTGACAGCACATATTTGAATGAAGTGCACCTGCGGACATTGAAACTAGAAAAAAATAATAAAATCAATCTCAACTTTCAGTTCTCTTGTGGGAATGGAAGGTATTCCAGTGTACGTATCATACGTCAGCATGTCATTTTTATACTAAGTCGTATACTGCTCAAAGCTAGGGCCAATGATCAGGTTTTACTATGGTTCTTTATATGTACATATCATAGCTGATAATATCTATATCAAGAATGGACAGCAGTTGGGAAGAAATAAGAAGCTAACAAGATATGCTCAAAACATGAAGTAAGTCTAAACTGATTTGTGAAAAATGTTGGATTAATTGGGTTTTTTATTCATTAGTGTTGTGCCTCTGTATTTCTTGGCTTCCTCTTGTACCAGCAGAAATAGTAAAATACAAAGATGGATGTTGATCATAGTATTTGAGGGTACGTCTACACTACAACGTTAATTCGAACTAACTTAGTTCGAATTAGTTAATTCGAACTAAGCTAATTTGAACTAACGCGTCTAGAACTAAAAACTAGTTCGAATTAGCGTTTTGCTAATTCGAACTAGCAAGTCCACATTTAGTGGACCCTGAACATGGCTTAAGGATGGCTGGAAGCAGTGCCGGCAGAGCATCAGAGGAGGACTTAGAGCGTGGAGATGCTGTCTCAGGCTAGCCGAGGGCTGCGCTTAAAGGGACCCGACCCCCACCCCGGACAGACAGTTCTAAGGGGTGCCCCGCTTGCAAAGCAGTCCTGGCTTGGATTGCCCGGAGTACCCACACTGGGCACATCACACTACTCGGCCATCAGCCCGGCTGCACTTGCCGCAGGCTGCGATCTGGGAAGAGGGGGCAATCGGGGGCCTGCAGGAGAGCTTCCACCCCCAGAAGCCCGCAGAGCCAGCCCAGTCCCCCCCATCGGGGGCTCGTACCCCATTCCTCCCTCACCTCCTTCCACTTACCCTTCCCTAGCCCCCCTTCTTATTGATGTACAAAATAAAGATAACGTTTCTTCCAACATTGACTCTGTCTTTATTGAAAAAAACTGGGGGAGACTGGGAAAAGGAGGTGGGAGAGGGGAAGAGAAAGGCTGGGAGAAGAGAGGGCAACTAACATGATCAGGGGTTGGGAACAGGTCCCAGATGAAGAAAGGCTACAGAGACTGGGACTGTTCAGCTTAGAAAAGAGGAGACGGAGGGGGGACAGGATAGAGGTCTCTAAAAGCAGGGGTTGGGTGGAGAGGGTGCATTCAGAAAAGTTCTTCCTGAGTTCCCATAAAGAAGGACTAGAGGACACCAAAGGAAAGGAATGGGTAGCAGGCTTCAAACTAGTAACAGAAAGTTGTTCTTCACAAAGCAAAGAGTCAACATGTGGAACTCCTTGCTGTAGGAGGCTGTGGAGGCTAGAACTAGAACAGAGTTTAAAGGGAAGTGAGATAAAGTGATGGAGGTTGGGTCAATGGAGTCCTATTAGCCAGAGGGTAGGAGTGGTGTCCCTGCCCAAAGTTTGTGGAAGGCTGGAGAGGGATGGCACGAGACAAATGGCTTGGTCACTGTCTTCGGTCCATCCCCTCCAGGGTCCCTAGGGTTGGCCGCTGTCGGCAGACAGGCTACTGGGCTAGATGGACCTTTGGTCTGACCCAGGACGGCCATTGTAAGCTCAGGGCTCAGGGTCGGGGGTCTCAGTGGACCCCCTTGATTTTCATGCACACCTGCGCCTGGGTGGCCAGGCTGGCAGCTCTCCGGCCCTAGACGGCCACTTTCCTGTGCCTAGTGCGGAG